AAAAAAAAAAAAAGGTGGAAAATGTTTTCCCACCTATTAGGTGAAAAAACATTTTCCACCATTTGTGCATCAAAGGGTTGTACCTAGAAAAAGGGAGGAAAACATTTTTCGTGGAAAATTTCGCGTATCAAACTGTCAAAAAAGTGAAAGTAGGAAAATATTTTCCTACTTCCTTGGAAAACTCCGTTAATCAAACGGAGCCTTAATTATGAAGGAATCTTCTATGATGCTCGGATTTTGGTACGGGTATCGGGTATGGGTACGTATTTAAGTGTCGAATATTTTATTTTCTAAAATGTAGTATATGGGACATGATTAAATAAATTTCGAACACAGGTACTTGGGTACACCTTTCAAATTTCAATTTTTTCCCTAAAAATTCACATGTAAAAAATTAAGCCCTCGTTTGACACATTTTTTCAAAATACATTATTTCATAACTCATTTTCAACCACACATTCTTCAATAAAATAATATTTTTTTATCACATGAATAACTTTTTCTTACTTTTTAACCACATATTTTTCATCATATCACTATTTAAAATACATTCTTTTCTTAATATCTATTAAATATACCCTAAATAATAATTAAGTGACAAATTATTGAAAGATATAATATGAGTTTTTCAGATATTTACCCTAGCTGCATCTTCTCCGATTCTTGTGAGTGCTTTAGAAGTTCATCTATAGATGACAAAAAAATTCGTTCAACCCGATACTCTTGGAGCTTCGCCCCGAATGGGGTGGGAATTACCCGCCTAACCGAGTAAACGGGTGGGAACGGGAAGATGGTCATTACCCTGAAGCGGGTACGGGGCGGGTATGGGAAACATAGTTTCCGCCACGCTGTCTGCCCGGTTTAAAGTTAATTTCAAATTTAAGTTTTTTATCAAACAAAAATAATAGATTTATCATTATTTTTAAAGAGAACATAAGTCATTTTTAACAAATTAGTAAAAAAGTAATAGTATTTACTAACTAAAGGCATAAAAAAATAAAAGCAAAAAATAAAATAAATAAAAAATAAACGAAAAAAATAAATGGGGCAAGCAACCCGCCCTATCCCGAACCCACCCTATCCCACTTTAACCGGATATGAGGATGGGGGTAAGGTAATAAAAATACCCGACTGGGCGGGGTGGGAATGATCGACCCGTCCCATTGCCATCCCTTCATCCTCTCCTGCCTGCTTGCCCCTAGTCTCACGAACTGCACGCGATTTGAATCTAAAACCTCTTGTTGGGAAATAAAACGAATCGAGATAATATATATGACAAAATATGAAATATATGATCGCAAACAAATATAGATAAAAGACAAATAATTAATTTGCGGATGAATGAAGTATTTTATTAATTGACTAATATGGAGAAAACAAATACAATAATTGTGTCTACACAATTATTCTATATTTCAGTAATAAAAAACTTGTGAAAAGAGTCTAGTATTTATAAGGGTAGATGCAAAACTCTAGAAATATGACAAAGATGGAAATAAGATACAAAATCACGTGGAATAAAGGAAATATTATTTTCCCAATATCTTTCCAATAAAAATACGTGCAAAGAAAGAAAAAATATTTTCTTAAAAAATCCAACCTAATTTGGGTAAAAAAAATCCAACAATACTTACTGAAGGTTATCCTCTATCCACAGTTTAGTATCCTGATAGTGAAAAGCAACCCCGATTTCTCTACCAAGGGATTATTGATTTATGAAACTGTGAAGATTTCTTGGCTCAGTATTAATGAATTTGGAATAGTATCATATATTTATTGCTTGTCTTAAATTACATTGCAAATGCCATGCACAACATTAATATGATTTCATTTTTTAATGTAGAAGGTCAATAATAAATAATATATTTTTTCTATTCTTACAATTTATCAATTAAATAGTTTTTTAGATAAAATTATATTCCCTAAACCCTCAAGTGAATTAGTGCTTGTCTGGATCTCCACACCGAAAGATTAATTCACCAATAAGCATACTTTCTGCATTCCCTTGTCAAATATGAATTGTACCCATTGACGTGGCACAAGAAAAGCTGACCAGCTTTCATTTTTACTTGCATTTTTGTGGCAAACTGTGCCGACATTTCACCACTTATAGACCACTATTACTGTCATCATTAAATCACAATTCATGTCCAATAGAACATCAGCCCTAGATCATAGTTAAAAACAGAAGACAAAAATAGAGAAGAAAATTGAAGATTAGTGGCATCTCTAAGCCTTGGAATACAAGAAGACCATGACCATCGTCTCCCCTCCACTGCAGTGACTACCAAATTTCCTCTGTTCATTTCCCGTAATATTATATTTGAAGAATTAAAAGGAGAAAGGAAAGAGATTCCTAAACCATTGCCATCCCCATCAAAAGCTGTGGAGTTCCTCTGCACTCTGTGACCTCCCAGACTACCACTCCTACTGTAATTTCCACTCCCAAATACATGGTAGAGCCACCACCCTCACCATGAAAACCCTAACCATGGACAGAAACTTGGTTTCATATTCTGTTGTTTTATGTGTCCAGTGTCCCATTTGGCAATGTGCTAGCATGGTATGTGAACTTCCCTTTAGTCAAGTGCCTTATGTTTATGTTTTTGTGGTTCTTTTATGTGTTTATGCTATGCTATTTTAAGTGCTAGTAGTCATTGGAAACTGATTCTCTGTTGTTGGTTATCTTTCACTTTCAAGAGAATATAGATGTGCAACAATGAATTGCCGCGTCTAGTTAGTAATCCTGTGCTTGGGATATGGAATTTACATTATATTGTGACCTCTTCATCTGAAAGCCCTTTTTCGTCACTTTTTTTGGCTTTAAAATCCCATGCTAGCCCCTCTTATGTGATACCTCTGCCTTAGATTGTAGAACACTCCCGTAGAAAAGTTGCGAAATATTGTCTCGTAATTGCTTCTCTTGAAATTTATCATGTTCTCAATAGCCACTCGAACTTTATTGTCCATTACATTGTTTTTTGGTCAACACACAAATCAGGCCAAGATTCTAAATATAGACCTTTATTCTTGTGCTCACTGAATGAAATCCTAGATTACTTGCGAACTGTAAAATTTGCTTCTATCCTGCCTTTTTTGGGGTCAAGACAGAGTACTATGTTCACATATGTTGAAGATGGCCATAGCTCAATGATTCTTGATGAAATGAATGCAGGTTAGATTTGTATGTAATATTATGCATCCACTTGATTTTTCCATTGACTTCATTTTAGGAGTACGATATTGCAAGTGATAACAGCAAGAATTCAAGGGATAGATTGGCTCGACAAAAGCAGAATCTTCGGCGTCGATTGGGTCAGTGTTCCATCAAGTTTTACTACTTTCTTTATCCCGTCAATGAATTAGCAATCCCCTGATACTGAATTTCAAGGTCACAATGGTACTATCTGTTGCTCTATGATGATGTATCACTCTGATACTTTGAATACTATTGTGATTGACTAAATCAGTCATTGATCACTGATTCTTCAGTTGGAAGATTGTTAACATGTTGCACACTTGGAATTGGCAAACTCTTGTCTACAGTGCGAACTAGTGAAATTTTATGAGGAAAACAATGCATATGTTTCTGGGCAGCCTAATTATTTAAATTCAATATGTTTTTCCTGGAATGTGCTGCACATGGTATAAGTGGAATTCTAATCATGAGCGATATCTATTATACGTACATGCCTTTTTAGGTCTCTCATTGTATTCTCTAATTCATCTCATAAATTTGAAGAATTTCACATTTGCAACTATGGGATTACCTGGAGTTTCTCTCTCTCTCTCTCGTTTCCCCACCTATGAGCTGTATCATACACTTTGCTACATGGATATGGGCATATGACCTGATGGTTATATTGTATACATGCATTATTTCATTAAGGTGACGCCCTTACTGATTTCTATTCCAGCTGATTAAAATTGAGATTAGTATCTTTTATTTCCTATGTTTGTTAGTTCTTAGCTTACATGCTCTTTTTTCGTAGTTTTCCCCGACAGAGATCCTAAAGTGCGTAGCCCCAAGACACTGAACTTTTTGGAAATATATGATCTGTCATTTTCATATACAGGGTTAGACGTGTGCGAGCAGTTCATGGATGTCAATGATATGATAAGAGATGAAGACCTTCTCGTGCAAAAAATTAATTCCTCTGGCAATGGAGTTTCCCTTCAGTATATTTCATCCAGGCCTCTCCGTAATATCCAGCAACTTGTTACAAACATGGTTCCTGCCTCCAGGTCTTGGAGGCCTAGTGCCAGGGAACTAAATCTCTTGAAACGTAAAGCAAAAAATAATTCAAAGGAACAAAAGAAGGGGTGGTCAAAGGATGGAGATGCAGAGATACCACAATCACAAGATATGGTTCCTCCAAAGGGAACCATGTCTATAGACTCCCCAAGCTCGCATAAGGTACATAAACATTTCCCTGATTATTAGGCTTCATAGCGTCACCAAATAATCTGATGTCTGAAGATTCATACATGCGTATTCGGTGTGAAGAACTTTCAGTAATGAACATGTAGAAACACAAAGTTTGAGATATGAATATATTTAGTTGGCTAGTTACTCCTGTCTTTCATGATAGCAGCAGTTTGTTTATGTTCATCAAACATTAGCTAGTTACACTGTTTACTTGGGTGCATTCCCTCTACTGTGCAAAAAAAAAAAAAAAGTCATTGAAGGCTTTTTCATCCTTTTTTAGCACACATCTGTAGTGCCCACTTGTGTATATGCATGTTAGCATTATTTACGATTTAATGGATTAAACTTGCCTTAGATTCAGATAGTCAGGGTTCGAACCTCCACGTGTTTGTAATGCATGTGGTTGGTTGTACATTCATCACTTCACAAATATAGTTTTTTATGAACCTCTCGTTTATGGAGATGCTGATGCAGTGTTTCTTCTTGATTTTACTCTCATGTATATTTTGGTTATATATCTTTGTAAAAGTTCTGAATATTCCATCCATTTGGCACTTTACCATTTGCTGAATAATCATTCATCATGAATAATAATGCGTATACGGGATGCTTTTATTTTTTTTATTTTTTGTTGCTGGTGTACGACATGTTTTTTTTCTTTTTCTATGTTGATGTTAAGAAATGAATCGTATTTTTGTTGCCTTAAATTTTACATTCTTATCTGATCCTGCTAATGCAAAAGTTTTAACTACTTTTTGATGCAGCAACTTGCAGATGGTGTTTCTGATGAAGACATCTTCGAGAATGATGGAGACGGGGGATGGCCTTTTCAATTTTTGGTTGAACAACTCCTTGTTGATATGTTTGACCCGGGTAGTTACTATTTTTGACTTTCCTGCATTTGAATTTTTTCATAATTTTCAAGAGATTAATTTCTCTAATTTTGTATTCCCAGTTTGGGAGGTTCGCCATGGTAGTATCATGGCCCTGAGAGAGATATTGACCTATCAAGGAGCTAGTGCAGGAATTTTGACTGAAATGAGCTGCAAGGCGTCGTCAATTTCACATTTGAAAGTTGAAGATGACGAAAATACAGTGAAGAGAGAGAGGGAACTTGATTTGAATCAACATGTTTCGATGGAAGAGTTGGAGCCAGTTTTGAAGAGACCAAAGTGGGAAAATGTTTCATGTCCAGAGACTGATATAACAACCTCTGCCTCTAGTGATGGAGATATGGGCATTTGTACAAAAGTTGAAGATGGAGGAAACATGCCTCTTATGCAACTAAATGGGGAAACTAATGTTAGTTCCATTAAGATGGAACCTGAACCTCATATTCATAGTGCATGCCATTCTAATGTTCATCTGACTGAGGAAAGGATTTGTACTGAAGAAAAGGATTCAATGCAGAAGAAGAACGTACTCGAAAATTTCGCTGAAAATGCTGAGCTTATGAACTTGGTTAAAATGACTAGAAATTCCTGGATGAGAAATTCTGAATTTCTGCAAGATTGTGCAATTCGTTTCTTGTGTGTCTTGTCCTTGGACCGGTATGATCTTGTTTAATAATATAAATTAGTCATAGTTTTTGTTTATATTGAAGATACTGAGTAGTGTATTTGAAACTGGAGAAGTTAGCCTTAGAAGAACCTAAATCTAAAGAATCCACTTACGAAAAAGATAATTTCTTACTTTGGATTTGTCATATTATGGCAACTTTCAGTTTATAACTGAAATAACCTTGTTCAGACAGGTGTCATCTTAAATTCAGCATTTTATTGATTCTTGAGAGAATCATAACAATGAAGTTTTACTATAGACAGTATCTCCTTGTACTTTGTCTAATCTGTTGTTGGTTTTCTTCTTTCTGTACAGTTTTGGAGACTATGTCTCTGATCAGGTTGTTGCACCAGTCAGGGAAACCTGTGCGCAAGCTTTGGGTGCTGTGCTCAAGTACATGCACCCTACATCAGTTAAGGAGACATTGAATATTCTGTTGCTGATGCAGGTAAATATTGATAGGAACTTTTTCACACCATAGAAGAGACACGGCCTTTTGAGGATAACTATTTGTTCTTTGATTGCAATAACTTTTGATTAGCACTTTGATTTTTCAGCTTAGACCAGAATGGGAGATCCGTCATGGGAGTCTTTTGGGCATTAAATATTTAATTGCCGTGCGACAGGTACATTTTTGTTCGATGTGATAATATTACTGATTTCTGTTCTTGTATTTTTTTATTGATTCTTATATGCAGTTATTCTGGTTCTGTTTACATTTATGTCACTCACTACTTTGCTTTCTATTGTTGTGTTTTGATTACTTAGATTAACTTGTACTTTTTAATTGCACGGACTTTGATGCAGTATGATATTTGAATTGCTTGCTTTGCACAGTATTTTTTGTGGTTCAATTTTGAAGCTCTTGACATACGTCTATCGTTCTATTAAGCAATCTTGGTTGTCTATATGGATGTTGATAAGGAAAACCTTGTATGTTTTGAGAAGGCAGGAGTCTTCTCTCTCATAACATATTTCATGACAGCTGAAAGAAAAAATTTCCTGAGTGTTATAGATTGTTGAATTAAAATTCTAATCATATTAGCTTGACAGCCCGCTGGGCGCTGACACATTTCTGCAATTGATGTCTCTATTATATATTTAGTCTTCCAAAACATAATTGTTGACAAGAGTCAAATTTTTCTTTCACTTCTGCATAGCTAAGATGGTCTTCATACTTAATTTTGTAGAAAATATGGACTGGAGGAACATGCCCTGTTGAGAATTTGTTGGATACCTCATGTTTAAATTATCCTTATCGGCATTTAATATAGAAGTTATAGTTTGTCCTCTGTGGAAATGATTATAGCTCTCTAACCTCCAGAAATCACCTCTTTATTGGATGCAGTTCTTGCATGTCTCTTTGACCTTATGAACCCAGGTGCCAAAGCGCTGGGCTGCTTCTTTGAGTGCTTCTCAAAGAAATATTGATAATAAAAGTTGATCTATACTGTCTGTATTAGAGAGTTATATTTACACCTGTGCTTCAGTCTTGATTAAATGCTTGATGTTCCTTTTAGAGAATATCTTAATTCTGTTAACTCCAAATACTTGGCTATCATTGCATTTGAATTCCTCTTATTTCAAAATGAGCGTCATATATTTGACTGAAATCAATCTTCTAGATGGATCTCTTGACTGTAATGGCATATGATTATAACTGTTAAGAGGGGCCAGTACTCTCTGTCTCTCTAGCTTCAAGTTCTCTCTTGTTAATGAAAGTTGGAAGCAGTTTAAAAATTTCAAATTTGAGCCCTACGCGATTAAGCACAATTCAGCTTATGATTTCTCTTTTGTGGATGCCCATTTTCTATGAAGTTTTTAAGTTATCTTCCGATTAACTACCCTAGTTGAATTTTCTTGATATGTTTGTTCGCCGTTTATACTTTTTTGTAGTTTCAGCATTCTGATGTTTTCTACTAACATCACCTGTTAATAACAGGAGATGCTCCATGAATTGCTTGAATATGTTCTCCCTGCATGTAAAACTGGGCTTGAAGATCCTGATGACGATGTAAGAGCAGTGGCTGCTGAGGCATTAATACCAACTGCAGCCGCAATTGTTTCTCTGAAGGGTCCTGTCTTGCACTCTATTGTTATGCTACTTTGGGACATTTTGCTTGACCTGGATGATCTTAGTCCATCTACCAGCAGGTACTTCTTTGACATCTTTTTCTTAATTATGGACTATTATCTTTGTACACCATGTGTTGTGAATACCACTCTTTTCTTCTTCCTCATTTTTGTCCAAGCTTTTGTTTTATTAGAATTATTATGTGATTTACTTTGTTTTTGATTGCATTATTAGTAAATTATTGGCTGTCTCATTCTTGTTTACCTCCGGATATATGAGAACCATTTATTACTGGTCTTGTTCTGTGTCTAATAGTCGGTAATTGAGTTGATGGGTCTTCTATGACTTTCAATGAATTTTTTGCTGCATAGGCTCAAGGGCAATGTATATTGAATATCAAGTTTTTTTGTTACTAATTAGGCACCTTGTCATTGCTTTACCTTGATAGTCTCTCAAGTGTCATATCTGCAAGTTTTGTTCTGAACAGGGTGATCATTATTCTCTGAGATAGGTTCTGCAATCATCTTAGAGATAGAGAGAAGGATTAAATAGAACTTACAATAATCAATAAGCTCCAGATTAGTTTTGACTTAAGAAGGAATTGGGGTTTATGAATAAACTTTTGCAGGAATCTTTTGGGACTGTTTTAATAAATGTCTCATCGACAGTTGGGTTTAAGGAGGCCTTTGATATTTATTGACTATTGAGATAACCCAATATGTCCATTTTATCGAGTTGTATTTTAAGATCTCCTGTTTGGTTTTCTGGTGCTAGATTGTTCAACACATTGCAAGTTACTTGAGACTGTCGCTACATTTAAAATATGCATAAATAGTTCTTTTTCTGTCTTCTCCCATGTTACTAGTGTTCCATACCTTTTTAGATGTCTCACTTTAATTGTTGGTGAAGCAGTCATCTACGTCCTTTTAGAAATTACCCTCAAGGTCTTGCAATCAGATTATTTATATGCTACACAATATCAACAGCTTATCTACAAAATAAAAATGCCTAATAATAAGGCATTAATTGAAGAAGAGATGCCTGTGAATGCTGTCACTCTTTTAACTTAATTGTTCTTTGATGATTATTTGCCTCCAATATAATTTGTGCCCAAATTAATGTCTTACTGCACTCCATAGCCCAATGCGCTTATTTTAGTTGATTTTTCTTTTTTTTCATCAATACGTTGGATTTTATTCTTTTGGGGGTAGGGGGGTGATTCCCGGGATTTTTTGTTGGTGGTGGTTGGGACTTAGAATTGGCGAAATGGAATAATATTTTTTTGTTCAAGTTCATGAGACTGAAGAGTCTTTGATGACATTTTGCAATTGCATTCAATCAATTAACGAGTTCAGTTATTGGATAGTTTTAGTGTTGCTTTACCTTTCACCTTTTCTTTTTGACATTTTTTATTGCTGTTGTTTTGTCTCCCTTGATCGGGCACTTTGTTTACTGGATACAAAATTTCAGCTTACAGAAAATTGGTCATTTAAGTTGTTATGGAGCTGCACTGCTGAAAACTTGAAATTCTCATCGTTTAGAATAACATTTGTTGCAATTTTCAGTATATGTTGGGTATTGAACTATTACTTTAGATTTTTGGTTGGATGGGTAGGTTCCAGATTGCAAAAGGCCCTTATTTTTTTGTGCCTCCAGTCTGACAATTGTTATAATTTTGTACGTCATAAAGATTTTTTTTGAATATTTCTTGATGTGTCTCTATTTTGGTGCAGTGTAATGAATCTGTTGGCAGAGATTTATTCTCAGGAGGAGATGATTCCAAAGACATTTGGCACCTTGGGAGAGAAATTGGAATTGGATCTTAATGAAATTGGTCAAATAGATGATCTTGGAGAAGGAATAAGTTCTCTTGAAAATCCATATATGTTATCAACCCTTGCACCAAGGCTGTGGCCGTTTATGAGACATAGTATCAGTTCAGTTCGTTTATCTGCTATTTGCACATTGGTAGTTCCCTTTTGTTCTTATTGCTTTTTGTTTTGATTTGTGCTCAGTTGTAACTGTTTGGTTGTCCTTTGTCCAGAATTTTGTGTTAATGGCAGAAGGTTTTTATTAATCTTTGTTGCTTTGTATACAGTGACTTAGTCTGAGTATCTGTTTTTATTCATTGACCCAGACAAAAGTAAAACTGAAGCAAATGAGAATTCCCTTGCAGGAACGTTTGCTTGAAGCTGGTCATAAGAAAAGTGTCGCTGACGTGTCTAGCTCATTATGGCCATCTTTTATCGTTGGCGATACCCTCAGGATTGTTTTCCAGAACTTGCTGCTTGAGTCAAATGAGGAAATTCTGCAGTGCTCGGAGAGGGTTTGGAAAATCTTGCTCCTGGTATGTTTCTTACTGCATCAGTGTATTGTTTTCTGTAACATTGATCACTGCTTAGATATTGTTTAAGTAATAGTATCCTTAAGGAACTGAACTAGTAACTAAAGGATTGCACTTTGATGCACCGATACGAACACGTGTTAGACACGTCAATACACAATTTCTTGAAAGTGCTGACACGATACGTCACCTGCACGTTGATTAAATTCTTTAAAATTCTTCTTTATCTAGTATAAATTTAGTTTTATACTTGTTATCAATTTTTTTGTTGAAATCTTTTAAGTATGAGTACCTATTTGTTATCTAACTTTGAGTTAAAAATATATAATATATGTTATAAAGAAAGAAAAGTGTCCGATTGTCGGTATCCAACACGTGTGTCGTACACACCACCCTAATTGAAGTGTCCGTGCAACACAGGGATTGCACTTAAGCTTCATAATTTTAGTGAAATTACCTGCTTGCTGAATCTTACATATCCTCAAAGGATCCGAGACAGTAACTAAAGGATCCTGGATCACACTCAAGCTTCATATGTGGTGAAACTATCTGCTTGCCGAATCTAACAGTAATTGTATTTTATAATCTCCCAGTTTTTTTTTTAGCATATAATTTGTTCAATACTTCTGGTAATTTCTTTTACCTATTTGTCTCCCACAAATTTAATTTTCAGATGATAAATAGTATCATATTGAAGTACAAATTTGCTGTTGCATTGTCAGAAGTTTCTTTGGTTATTAGGTTGCTAAAACACTCATTTTAATATTTCTGGTTTGGATTCTACTTTTGGTTAAGAATTATCGCTAAAGATACTCATTTAACCATTAATCAATTTTTTTCTTGCTTCACTGCTAAAATGCTCTTTGAAATGCTGCCAGTGCCAAGTAGAGGACTTGGATAGTGCTGCAAAATTGTACTTTTCTTCTTGGATGGAGCTTGCAACTACTCCATATGGCTCACCGCTGGATGCTGCAAAAATGTTTTGGCCTGCTGCCTTGCCTCGTAAAAGCCACTTCAAAGCTGCAGCTAAAATGAGAGCTGTCAATCTTGAAAATGATTATTACAAAGGCAAACTTTTAGAATCCACGGAAGGTGCCTCAACAGAGAAAAATGGAGATTCTTCTACCAACCCTGGTAAGATAGTTGTTGGTGCTGATGTGGATATTTCAGTAACTTGTACAAGAGTAGTTACTGCAACAGCTTTGGGCATTATGGCTTCTAAGTTAAATGGGGCATCCTTACAATGTGTGGTTGATTCGTTATGGAAGGGACTCACTTCTCTATCTGGAGTCCATCGTCAGGTATACTTCTTGAGTAAAGAACATAGTCAATTGTGTATATGCTTTTCATATTCACGTGCTTGGTTAACGTGTTTATATTAATTGTTGAATATCCCAGGTGGCTTCTATGGTTCTTATATCTTGGTTCAAAGAATTAAAAGATCATTCGAAGTCCGATGAAGTTATTGCTAGTATTTCAAGTAACTTCAGGAACTGCTTACTAGATTTGTTAGCTTGCACTAATCCTGCATTTCCTACAAAAAATTCACTTCTACCTTATGCTGAACTTTCAAGAACGTATGCTAAAATGCGGAATGAGGCCAGCCAGTTGTATAATGCGACAGAGGCATCTGGCATCTGTAACGATATTTTGTCATCTTTCCAAGTTGATTTTGAGAATTTGACTGCAGATGATGCAATTAATTTTTCCTCGCAACTTTTGTTTATAAGTACTGAGGCATCTGGGCCCGAATCTAATGAAAGGAATATATGCGAAGAGTTGGAGTCCTTGAAACAAATTTTTTTGACAACTGCTGGATATCTGAAATGTGTTCAGGTATGCTTGAGAAGCAGTATAGAAGTGGACTATAAATTCATGTTGTTTTATTTTAGTTCACTTTACACAATTTTTTTTCATTTTATTTGACATCACAGGTCACCTTTTTTTGAGTTTATAGAAGTTGTTATGACATCTATTCTCTTGCTATATGTGAATACTCTTTTTGGGTTGTCGTAATGTTTACATCACCTAATATGGGTAATTCGCAGAATAATTTGCATATTACGGTCTCGGCTTTATTGGCTGCTGCAATTGTTTGGATGTCAGAGCTTCCCTCAAAACTTAATCCAATTATTTTACCTTTGATGGCTTCTGTCAAAAGAGAACAGGTAACATAATCAAAGCTGTGACATGTTTCTGTGTGGAAGCACCTAAATTTAGTATTCATTTTGTGTGACATCGTTTCTGTAGGATGAAATACTGCAAAATAAGGCAGCTGAAGGTCTGGCAGAGCTTATATATCACTGCATTGAACGCAAACCTAGTCCAAATGACAAGCTAATTAAGAACCTTTGTACTTTGACATGTATGGATCCTCGTGAAACTCCTCAAGCTGGAATCTTAAGTTCTGTTGAGGTAATTGAAGACCAAGATCTTCTGTCCTTTGGTAGTAGTAGCAGTAGACAAAAGTCAAAGGTTAATATGCTTTCCCCTGGTGAAGACCGATCAAGGGTTGAGGGCTTCATTAGCAGACGTGGGTCTGAACTTGCTTTGAAACATTTATGTGTGAAGTTCGGTGGTTCATTGTTTGAGAAACTTCCAAAGATATGGCATTGTCTTGTGGAATTCCTTAAGCCTTGTTCTATTGAAGGTCTGATGGCAGAAGATGAAAAACTGATAGATCAATCTATTGAGTCCATCAAAGATCCTCAGATTTTAATAAACAATATTCAGGTAAGAGCTTTGAACTTATACAATGGTACCTTCTGGCTTGTACATGCTATATCATTTCCTGAAGTGTCAAATATATTTACTCACTTAAAGAAAATTGGTAATGTTTTTGTAATTTTGTGAGCATTGAATTGGGATTAGGCGATTCTGTAGCCCTGGAAAATGAGTTGAAAACATAAAATAACCTCCCTGCAAGTTTGAGGTTATTTATACGCAGTCCGACTTAGGTGTTTCACATGCTGAGAGTGCTCTAAAGAAATACTCATTTTTTATTTTTTTTTAAATATTTGACTCTGCCCACTTGCCCTTATCTAAACTTCTCTTTTGATCATCATAGGCTGTTAATTTAAAACTTTTTTGTTATATATTTTGAATGTTTTTCACCCGTAGAATTATTCGTTGTGTTTGGTTAGATGGATTTTAAGCCATACAGAAATATGAGTTGGAGCCACATGGTGAGTAAATCATAAACAGGGTTATTCTGGATGGCCAATTTTGAGATGTCCATCACGTAAAAGTCACTGGGACTAGCCTTTTGAGATTGACTTCCTGCGAAATGGCAACTTAACAATGGTTTATATATGACGAACAAATCATCTTGAGTTCAGCATTATATTCATATATATTTGGCCTGATGTTAGCAAACTCCATCTGTTTTTCAAAATTTCATTTTAGCAAGTGCATTTAATGAAAGTCCATCTTTGTGAGTGATTTTATAATGCTTCTTTTACCCCAAAATTTTAACGCTTCTTGTTTTTCTACTCCCTTTGTCTTGAGGCAGGTAGTTCGTTCTATTGCTCCTTTATTGGATGAGACACTGAGGCCAAAACTTCTCACTCTTCTACCATGCATTTTCAGATGTGTCCGCCATTCTCATATTGCTGTAAGGTTATCTGCATCTAGATGTATCACAGCAATCGCCAAACCAATGACTCTGGATGTCATGGGTGCGGTCATTGAGAATGCTGTTCCAATGCTAGGAGATATGACATCTGTACATGGTAGACAAGGAGCTGGTATGCTTGTTAGTTTGCTTGTGCAGGGATTGGGATTGGAACTTGTCCCTTATGCTCCTTTGTTAGTTGTTCCTCTTCTGAAGTGCATGGGTGATTGTGATCCTTCTGTCAGACAGAGTGTAACACATAGTTTTGCGGCCCTCGTACCTCTTCTCCCGCTAGCACGTGGCGTTTCTCTGCCTGTTGGCTTGAGTGAACGTTTTTCTAGAAATAAAGAAGATGCTCAATTTTTGGAGCAACTAGTTGACAACTCCCACATCGATGATTACAAACTCTCCTTTGAATTAAAAGTGACATTGAGAAGGTAATGGTCTATAGCGCTGTAAAGTTGAATCTGCTATATAAAGATTTTGAGTTCAGTTCTGGTACTTCATTGCAATCCTTACCTTGCAATTAGTCTAAATTTTTGCCTTTTAAAATGTTGTATTTCTGATTTGCATAATTCACGATTCATTTCTTATAATCCAATCTCTCCCTACTCCTCTCTCGTGCTTCTTCGTTTGAGTAACAATTATCTAGCCTCATTTGAGCACCCGTTTCTTTTGAAAATATCCTTAAGCTTAATTTGTTTTATCATTATTCTTAATAAATGATTTATCCAATGGTACCTTCATAGCTCTCTTTTCCAAGTAATAAGTTTAGTGTGTTGCTATATTTCCTCTTTATGTCATGCAGTCTTTTTACCTTTTTCTGTCACTGTTATACTTTTATTGCCACATCATGGATTAAAACCATAATGACCTTGTTTCTTTATGACATATTTCGGAACAAAATGGAATTAAAGATGGTGGAAAACTATAAACCAACATTGATTCAAAGTGCTGTGGCATCTAAGGTTTGCATCTGTATTAAGAATTAAGTGAGATAATTTTTGATCTATCCTTGTTAATTGACATTCGCATTGGAGTTTCTTTTTTTTTTTTCCATTTCTTCTCTTCATAGAAGCCATAAAAATAATATGGCTTGATCATTTCAACCAGTTCCCACTCTTCGTAACTATGATGCAATGTATGGTATTTTATAATTCTACTTTTTACTCTAATGTCTCCCTTTTATCTTATTTAATATGATAAAATGCAGCTTGATACCTTTTCTGGTTTCAGGTATCAACAGGAAGGCATAAATTGGCTAGCATTCTTAAAGCGATTTAACCTTCATGGCATCTTATGTGATGATATGGGTCTAGGTAAAACCCTTCAATCATCAGCAATCATGGCATCTGATATAGCAGAGCGCATTGCTGCAAGTAATGCTAATGATCTACCACCATCATTAATAGTGTGCCCATCAACGCTTGTTGGGCACTGGGTGTATGAGATAGAGAAGTTTATTGATTCTTCTCTTTTGACAACACTTCAATACATCGGTTCTGCTCAAGAGCGCTTGTCTCTTCAGCCACAATTTGACAAGCACAATGTTATTGTAGCATCGTACGATGTAGTCCGTAAAGATATTGATTATCTCAGCCAGCTTTTCTGGAACTACTGCATTTTGGACGAGGGACATATTATAAAGAACTCAAAGTCCAAAGTCACAGGTGCAGTGAAACAATTGAAGGCTCAGCACCGTCTGATACTGAGTGGGACACCAATCCAGGTTCATTATCAATTTAGCTTCAGTTGGCTAGAAATTAGCTTGCACTTTACCTGACGAAACTTCTACCTCTAATTGCAGAATAACGTGTTGGATCTTTGGTCTCTTTTTGACTTTCTCATGCCAGGATTTCTTGGAACAGAAAGACAAGTACGTGATGTAGCCTATATTGCTTTTCGATCTTTTGTAACAGTGGTGGCATGCTTATCCCCCCTCCCTCTCACAATAAAAAAAAATTAAAAAATTCGCATTTATACGCACGCACCTATGTTTGTAGAAATTTATTTATCATGATATACTTTTGGAAAATCTCTAGATGATCTGTAGCTAATATCTTTGTTAGACAAAGTGGAGCAGTGTGTATACTCTATTTCCTCTCCCTGGGTTACACGGTTGTACATGTATTGTTCTTCATATAATACTCAGTCGACTTCATATTACATAGTTTTGTTGTGAATGCTTCGTATTAGAATATAAGAGAGCCAACAGTGTAAGAAATTTCCTTTTAAAATCTGACTGTAGAAGTGATTGGAAATGTCTCCCTATCTTCATTGCTAGGACTCGATTGAAGACAAAATTTACATAAATGAATGTGCCCTCTGTAATAACTTAGCTTTTTGATGAGGTGGGTCAAAATGTTAACAAGCAAAGGTCTTGACTTCAAGTTTTGCTGCAACCCATTTATGAAAATTGTGCACGTGCCAGGAAAAAGATGACTTTGGCTCACACGTGAATAGGCGTGTTGTATACAAAACATAAATAAATAAATTTGTTCTCTCTCTAATAACTTAAGCTTTTAGATAAGGTGGTTCAACAAACACTTCGAGAAGTACTTGTTTTGTTTCAAGTGTTAGATCAGGAATCTAATGACAAACTTTGTCATAAACAGTTTCAAGCCACTTATGGAAAACCACTGCTAGCTGCCAGGGATCCTAAATGTTCAGCTAAGGATGCTGAAGCTGGTGCACTTGCCATGGAAGCTCTGCACAAGCAGGTGTGTGATTCTAGTTTCATTCTTTGATTTTTTACCTATTGACATTTGGTTGTAGTTGTTCTTTATCAGACAATTTGGTTGGATTTTCCTCTGATAGGTTATGCCTTTTCTCTTACGCCGAACAAAAGATGAAGTATTGTCTGATTTACCGGAGAAGATCATTCAGGACAGATATTGTGACCTGAGTCCTGTACAGTTAAAATTGTACGAACAATTTTCTGGTTCACATGTTAGACATGAAATCTCAAGTATGGTTAAGGTAAATGAAGATAAAGGAGAGGGACCTAGAGCATCTTCTCATGTTTTCCAGGTAAGATGGAAAGTTATTGTGAATTATGACCAAGCCATCATATTTTGTTGCCTGATGACTGTTCTCATTGTTTTAGGCCCTTCAATACTTGTTAAAACTTTGTAGTCATCCATTGCTTGTCCTCGGTGAAACGATCCCGGAGTCACTCTTATCTCATCTGTCAGAACTATTTCCTTCTAGTTCCTGCACAGCTTCAGAACTCCATAAACTGCACCATTCACCCAAACTTGTCGCCCTTCAGGAGATACTAGAAGAATGTGGAATAGGTGTCGAGGCATCAGGTTCTGAAGGCACCATTAGTGTTGTGCAGCATCGAGTTCTCATATTTGCACAACATAAGGTAACATGTGCTTCATCCTTTTTGTTAAATAACTTTTTCTATTCTCTGTCGAGGGGGAATTCTTTAGATGCTTACCCTGCTACCATTATGAAAATTATTAATATAGCACAGTGTAGTTTGCTCTGGCATGTAACTGTAACCATTTATGCAGGCCCTTTTGGACATTATTGAAAGAGATTTGTTTCACACCCATATGAAAAGGTGAGTGTTTCTTTCGTCTATATGCATCTCTATTTTATTGTGTAAGGAAAATAAACATTGATTCCTCCTTTACCCATCTTATTATATTGTGGACACCATTAAGCTGCATTTAGTTCTCTTATAGTATATTTCACTGTTCTTGTTGACACAAATAACCCAACTACCTTACCTATGACTATTGTTTTCATAGGAAGTGATTTTTTAGAGTCTGCTGTAATTGGCGTAGACTTTCTGCCTATAAAGAGACTTCTCCATTTATTTTGCGTGTTTCATTTAATGATATGTGCATATGCTTGCATCAATCTTTCAATTTTCTTGCTAAGAAATATCTTGAAAGAGGAGTTGTTTTTTGACATTATGTGATTTGACTGCTTTATTCTTATTTTGAAGCAGCGTCACATATTTGCGGTTGGATGGATCAGTTCAACCAGAGAAGCGCTTTGAAATTGTGAAGGCCTTCAACTCAGACCCCACAATTGATGTTCTGCTGCTCACAACTCATGGTATGACTGTTTAAGACAGCATTTAAATGATATACATGTGACTCTATCTTATAGCTTAAGCAATTAGACCAAGTGGTTCAACATGATTACTATCAGTGTAGGCACATGTCCAGAGTTCAATTCTCGTCGCCACCAATTAAATGAAATTTTGCACGTGTCAAACTTTGATGGGAAAAATTAATGAACTCCGCCTACACATGAGGGATGTTGAATACTATTTAAATGATGTACATATGGCCCTAACTAACATCTTAAACTTTTAGATCAAGTGGTTCAATAATGACTTTATTTACAATTTTGCTTTATTGGCTTTTGGCCAACGTAAAAGTTTCTGGAACTTAAATCTCATAATTCATCATTGCAGTTGGTGGGCTTGGTTTGAACTTGACTTCAGCTGATACCCTGGTTTTTATGGAGCATGACTGGAATCCCATGCGAGATCACCAGGTATGGACTTTGTTTTCATGGCTTGATCAGAAAATGTTTGGAACTTTTTCCAGTAAATGGTAGTTGTCTTGTTTATTTAACGCAAATTTATTAATGTAATATTTTGTGTTCACCTGCCGCATCTGGCAGAGATATTTCTGGAAATGTTTTGAAAGTGCTATTAATAAAATATCAAAACCATTGATTTCCAGTCATTATTCTGAACACTTCCCATTCTAAGAGTCATTTTACTTGATCATTTCATCTTTGATTGATTAGAATTAATTCTAAAGATGGCCTCAAAGAAGTCTTTTGACTGTATATTCTATGTAAGAGGCATGGTCCTTGTGGGTAGAATCCCTTACGCTGATGTGATGAAATAGTCACAAGAGAGAGAAGTTGCATCCGTGTCTGAGATTCACTTTTTGAGGAAGGCAAGTAGCCGTGTTAGTTTCATTCAATTGAAAGTGACCTGTGTTTCTGATATACTTGCAGGCAATGGACAGAGCGCACAGGTTAGGTCAGCGGAAAGTCGTCAATGTTCACCGTCTCATCATGAGAGGCACCTTGGAAGAAAAAGTGATGAGCCTCCAAAAGTTCAAAGTGTCGATTGCTAATGCTGTCATCAATGCAGATAATGCAAGTATGAATACAATGAATACAGACCAGTTACTAGATCTATTTACATCTGCTGAAGGCAAAAAGGTATTTGCTCAGTTCACCTTCCATTCTTTATTTGGTATTAATACTTTTAACTTATCATGCGACTTCATCGTATTGTAGACAATTTCAGATTATGAACTACATTATTTAATCCCGTTTCTTTTAGACATTTCGAGTTATAAGCATTCTGTATATATATATATGTTCTTTAGGGAAGAAGAAAATCAATACAGTCAGATGAAAGCTTTGATGGGGATAAAAAATTACCTGGCGGTGGCAAGGGACTCAAGGCCATACTTGGTGGACTAGAGGAGCTTTGGGATCAATCACAGTACACTGAAGAATATAATCTAAACCAGTTTTTAGCTAAGTTAAATGGCTGAATCAAGCATGGGATATTAGAAGCTCAAGAGATTGTTGATCAGAGTATGCAAAAATAATACAATCACGTGGAAGAGATTAAAGCTCCAGTAAGCTGCCCACAATGTACAAAAGTGTATATTCGTCGCACTGCATCTCCAGTTTTGGCGATTAGCGTAGTTGTCATTTCCCTTTATCTCTTCATTTCTCCTTTTCTCTTTACGATCATTTTCGTACATGCATTATATGCAGGAGGCGATTCGTAGTTGGTTGAGAGTGAGCATTACTGGGCTTGTGAATCCACATGTAGCTCAGGAAGGTGATAGAACATGTGAAGTTTTGAATATTGTATATACATTCAGATATTCCTGAGTTTCCAAAGCTATTCATATTGCAACACTACTTTTCTTCTAAATTTTTGACGATCCTATGGAATAATGACCTGATTTGAGTTGTTATTCCATTGATTTCTTATTGATTTCCACAAAGAGGAGGTGAATTATGGGATGGCTGGGAAGAGTTTGTTAATGGTAGATAGAATCGTAGGCATGATGACCCAAAGAGCACGTTTGATTACAATCTTGGATGAGATTGAACTTTGTAATTAGAATATTATCTTTTTTAATATCGTTCCGCAAACGCTATACAATCTATTTTACCAACCGAGGTTGTCGATAAAGAAAAGTAGAAACAACATTGATAGAAAAAGTATTGAAGCAAAGCCATCACTACACAAGAAGTCTGGCAATGAAACTGTCCTCTCTTCTAATAGTACATAGTACATAACTTACGGAAACTAAATGCTAAAAACATGAAAAAAGGGTAAAAGAAAAATGATGCATGAATTACAACATCGAAATATCCTCGAACTTTTGAAATATGATTTAATATTGTTTTCGAGTTTTAAAAAAAACGTAGAAAACAAAAACGAAGTTAAAATATTCGAACATGAATTTACCTTAAATTAAACTTTCTGTATTATAAATTTCTTCTTTTATCTTTCTTCTTGGGTGCGATCCGTCGATGAGCAGAGCTGATAAAAATGAGAAAAAAAAAAAAAAAAAGGTCTTCATTGGCCATAAATAAACGAAAAAAGAAAGAAGAATTATATAAATGTGGTAAGTAGGAGAAAAAAACTAAACATTTCTTAATTATACAAAGTAGTATAATACCATTATTTTCGAAACGTATGTAACCATATAGCTATAGTAACCGACGTACCCGCAACGTTGTGGAACTGTCCAAGACAATGTCTTAGACTCCTTTAATTTTGGTGGTAAGTCCAAATATTTTGTCCAATCTTGAAGCAAAATCTTAAGATCATGAACTTTATTGTCCAAACCAACACAACAATTTGAATGCATGGTGCACACGAAATTTAAGTCTTTGCTGGGCTGACAGAATCCTCCAAAATAAGCTGTGTCTAAAAACTTGATTTTCAACCCAATTTCACTTATAAAGGGATCATATTTAATCATGTTAAGTACATCTTGATCATGTTTTCTTGGATAATTTTGTCTTGATTTGTACCAAAATTTGTAAAACTGGATTGTCTGATTACTTGATTTTACATAATTGAAACCTCCATTGGGTGCATTGTTTAGGTCTAAAGGGTTGCCCAAAAAGTTGTCACATGCAATCTGGAAATCAGCGTCCAAATAAAAATGTGGAAATGGGTTTCGAAACCACATGATATCTGTATCCTGTATTCAAACAAAAATAATAATATATATTAGTCTCAAAAGATCAAATGAGTAGCTAAATCTAGAATATTTGTGTTCTCAATTGAGACGTCATCCCGTGGAAGCATGTTTATAAAGGAAAAATACTCACTTCAATAAACAACTTAATGTACTTACTGTGAAAATGAAACTGTATCCCATGTCTAGAACAATTCGAAGAAAATCGATCCTTCTCCACATCATCTTCAAGTAGCCCGGTGACATGAAATGAGCCTCAACAGAGAAGTCGACGCCGTCGGTTTTCAGAAAAAAACAATTTGGGTGTAATTCCAAACAACGAGCATAAGCCTTTTGATCCAAAGCAGCAACCACCAGATGCTTAAGAAGCCAAAGTGTTTGATTCCCAATTCTAAAGCTCTCAAGAAAGAGATCAAATGTTGAATTTGGTTCAGCCCATGCTTCATTTAGAGTTGTTATAAGTACAGTTTTGTTTGACATTGCTGCCCTTTGCAGTACTCTCTCCAACTCATCCTCTTCATTGCCCTAATATACATGAATATTACTTTAAATCTTCCTTGGGATTTAGCAATAATGAAAGCAGAATTATAAAAAAGGATTCATGTAATTGTTCGGATAAATATGAAAAGAAAAATCAATGTACAAGTTCTTGACCTTTTAAGATAGAACATCAAAGCTAATATGATATTAGAGCTCGAAAAGTTTAAACAAGCAATTCGATTAGTTTAAAACTTAAACATGCAGTTGAGATCGAACATTTATGACCATCTTAGGGGGCATGTCGGTAAAACTCGTTCGGGGGGTTTTCACCCCGGTGTATAAATGCCCAAGTGGCATTTCATCATTGGCTGGGCCCAAACACCGGTGTGTAAACAAACCCTAATATAAACGCAGTATAATTTGACTCATAAAGCCTAAAACAATATAGACGAGCTCAAATTCATTAGGAAGTTTATTATATTCGAATGGAACAGCATATAATATTCCTAAACATAGATAAACAAAAATTTTGAATGATTGATTTATGGATTAATTATTGAAGTAATTAGTTAAATTTTTCCTCAAGTAATGGTATGTTTGTGGTATATAATTATTAGAAAAAAAATCGAGAGGAAGAAAATGATCAATGTTCAACTTACCGAGTTTGTTGATGCATTTACATAAGCATAACCACGAGACAAGGAGAATGAATAGAAGCGTACTAGACGGAACTGGATAGGATACTCAGTTTGATAAAGCACGAGGCACGCAAGAGAAACCATGGCAAACAACATTAGAGACTTGAGAACCTGATTATGGAAGACATGATATTGCCGGTTGCCGGATTCCGGCGACTTTATGTTGCTGTTGCTGCTGACGACTCTTCTGACGTCTGAATCCATGATAACTGAGGAATGAAAATTATTTAGAATTTCATCATTTCCATCTTCATTATGTATCATAACAAGCAATTAACTTCTTATAATTATATAAAATGGTGGTTGTACTGGAGATATACCTGGCTCAAAGAGAGAGAGAGAGAGATTACATGAATACTGTCACCCCCTTTTTTCTTTGAACTGAGGATCCCTCCATTTATGTTGATTACTAAAGCCTTGTTTGGTAAGGATGATGATACAATATAAAACAATATTAACAAAAAGAATAAGTTTCAATCTTATTTATTGTACCATCTAGTAGCGTACTGTATTGCTTATCAAACATACGGTAACGCTTTGAATTTTGGGTTGAGTCATCTTAGTTCGTCAATATAAGATAAATTACAAGTTGCAACCAATTAGAATTTTCAATTTCTAATTAAACTTTCCCACTCTATCAGCCTCACTTGAAGTTGCTGCACATGCAATTCCTTCGGACATATTATCCCTAGTTTGTGTTATCGAGCCGATTACCCTCTCCTTGTGAGGTAATTTACTGAGTCACTTAATTTTTATCTTTTGAGTTGTTAGAAATTTTGAAAACATAGTATGTATTTTTTTTACTTTTACCCTAATAAAAGTATCAAACTCCTCCGGTAAAATAAGAACATCGCTATGAAACTTGTGAACGACGCTTCAGCCGATAAATTTTATCGCATGTGTCACACGCATATTCTTTAATCATGTCAAATGATATCCCACCTAGCACGTTACCCGTATTTGGATCCACGTATATTTAGTACAATATAGATGGTTGTCTATAAAGAAGATTTTCCCTCCACATGGTAACAGTTGTGACTTTCTCAATTAAGTAATTACTGGCGTCAATTATGCTTAGACTTTTTAAATTATTCGAGACTTGACTGGATTGCTCAAAAGAAAATTTTCGTTTCACCTAGTTTCCAAGTGGAAGTAGAAATTGGGTCGATGACTCAAGACTTAACTCAAACATTTCACATACCAAAAAAAAGCTTTAAATTAAAATTATATAAAAAATAATAATAGATACGCCAAAAATACCTTCAAATTATGTAAATCAAGAACATTTGTGATCTCACATTTAATTTTACTTATTGCTTGATCCAACGTAATTCCTTAGAACATCTCTAATACTAATGTGGATTGCCGAAAAATGCCACATAAGTAAAATAAACAATGGGTTAAAAAATCCTCTACAATGTTATCTAACACCAATTCTGTCAAATTGATGTGAAAGCAAAAACCATTTATTGTTTAGAACTCCATCTAGATTCAGAGGCTCTCCTAAATACGCTGACTCAACAATTTATTTATATTTTTAGAGCATTGAATTTTCTCTATCTTCCTATGCATTTTATTTAGTATTGTTTTAGGTCTAGCAATTTTTCTCAAAAAATAGTTTGAAGGTTAATACAACGTTTAGCTTTTTAAGCAAAATATAAGTTTAAATGTTTCCTCGTTGATATATATTCAAATTTCTTTAAAAAAGTGACATATCAAATTTCAACACCTTAATTCATACACAAAGACAAATACATTTTTGGCTAAGCTCAGTTCATTAAAAAGTGACAGCATGTTGTGCCACTTTTTAATTAAATGTCAAACAATCAATTTCTAAAAGAACAATACATTTTTAGCTAATCTTTCAATTTACTTTGAGAATTTCTTTTAGACGTTAATTTATCTTGTATTATGTTAAATATGAATCAAGTTTAGAGAAAGTACCACTGTACGTGTCTTTTTAATGAAAAGGTAACATATAATGTCACTTTTAATTAAAAACACATTGGATGCCACTTATTAAAAAGTAACATTATATGTTACTTTTTAACTAAAAAGTCTCACGTAACTTTACACAGTATTGTTTAATTCCAAAATACTTTTTATTTATTTTTTTAAAGATTCCTAATTTTAAGGATATTTGTGTAAGTTACCCTACCTATAATGTATTATCTAACGAGCCAAAATGAGATAAAGTTGACTTATTTTTGTTTGTTCTAATAACATGCAAAGTATTGACTCAACTCTTTTGCTTGTTACACTATCAAACTTTTTCAAAAACAACGTCGTGGGACTGTCCAAGTTATTACTTTCGTAAACTTTTCATGATCCGGCGATGACGTGTAATTTTTCCAATCATCAATCACCATTTTAAGATCATGAATTTTGTTATCTAAACCAATACAACAATTTGCATGCATTGTGCACACAAGATTAAGATCTTTGCTGGGTTCACAGAACCCACCAAAATAAGCAGTATCAAGAAATCTAATTTCCAATCCAATTTCTTTAATGAAGGGATCGAATTTTATCATGTTAAGCACATCTTGATCATGTTGTCCTGGGAACTTGTCTTTCGATTTGTACCAGAATTTGTAGAACTGGATTGTCCGATTGTTGGATTTAGCGTAATTGAAACCTCCATTCGGTGAGTTGTGCAAGTCGGTCGAGTTGAACCAGTAGTGATCGCATGCGATTTGGAAATCAACATCCGAATAAAAGCGATGGAACGGATTTCTCAACCACATTACGTCGGCATCCTAGAAATTAAATCAAGAAAGACAAAGTTCATCAATCGATCATGTAATTATAAATCTTCCACTTAATTTTTTTTAAATGATTTTTAAAAATTTGGGACCAAACATATACGTATCATATGTTTTAGGATTTGATTGTACGTATGAACGTAATAAGAGAAAGAGAGTACCGTGAAAACGAAGTTGTATCCAATCTCAAGAACGGAGATAAGAAAATCGATTCTTGTCCACATCATCTTCAAGTAATCTTGGGTCATGAACACGGCCTCACCAGCAAAGTCGACGCCATCGGTTTTGAGAGCATAACAGTTTGTATGTACTGTTAAGCAACGGGAATAAGCCTTTGCATCCAAGGCTATGACAATTACATGTTTCAAAAGATTTTGTGTTTCATTTCCAATTGCAAAGCTCTCAAGAAAAAAATCGAATATGGAATTTGGTTCTGTCCATGCTGCATTTAGGGTTGTTATGATGACGGTTTTGTCCTCCATTGCTGCTTGATTTAATACTTTTTCTAATGACTTATCATCATTGCCCTAATTAATTTTGGGGAAAAAAATGTAGAAGTTAGAGGAAAAATTCAAAAACATTCTGAGAAATGTAAAGATTTTAACAATTTTTACCTCTATCTTTGGATCATCTTTATTTATAAATTATAGATATATAAATTTGGAAAGTAAAAAAATTTATGTACTACAACAATACTCTTTATTTTGATTCTTCATTTTGTCTTTTATCAAAAAATATTTAAGGCACCGTTTGGTAACCATTATTCTAGAAAATAATGCATTCTTTGTGTCAAATCACACCTTTTTTGTGGTTGAAAATGAAGGAAAAGTTATTGATATGATGGAAAATATTATTTTATTGATGAATGTGTGGTTGAAAATTAGTAGAAGAATGAGAATGAAAAAAAGAATGGATACCAAACAGAGGCTAATAGAGTGTGTTTGTGACACATTCTTTTGAAAAAATGTATTATTGAATAGTAGATTAATGGAGAATGTGTGGTTAAAAATGAAGGAAAAGTTATTGATGTGATGGAAAATATTATTTTATTGAAAAATGTGTGGTTGAAAATGAGTAGAAGAATGAGAATGAAAAAAATAATATGTACCAAACAGGGCCTTATTGATTTCTTCTCATATTTTATTTAACATAATTTTTTATGTCAATGGGCAATCAATTGAAGCCTCCGTTTAGTAACTATTCTTTCAAAATTGTTTTTTTCGTACTCATTTTCAATCACATAATTATCACAATAAAATATTTTTTGCGTTAATCCAAAACTTTTATTTTTTAACCACATATTATCCAAAATTTACAATTAAAAACTTATTCTTCCAAAAAAAAAAATGGCTATCAAACTGTGGTTAAATATATTTTGAATAATTTAAGAAGTAGAGCATTGAAATTTGCGACTTATTCAATGTAATCATTGTACATTAACAATAGAGAGTGAATTTGATTCTCTAATTTCGGATAGCCAAATCTACTCTTTATTTTAAAAAATTAAAATAAAGAGTCTCTTGAACTTACTTTTAAGCATTAACTCTTTAAAATAAAGAATATTTTGTATTTAAAGAGTTTCTAGGAGGTGCTCTTAGAATTGTATTTTTGAAACGTTATTAATTAGTTTTTACCTCTCCAATATTTTTTTGTAAATATTTTTGTAAAAGTATTTTTGTAAACGTATTTCCTAGAAGGGGTATTTCGGGGATTTTAGTTTACACCTCTCCAATATCTTTTTTGTAAATATTTTTGTAAAAGTATTTCCTAGAAGGGGTATTTCGGGGATTTTAGTTTACCTAACCTTTGTAATTTGTGATGTTTTAAAATTGGATCGGACCAATCGGTTCAGTGAAAAAATTAGGAACCGATCCAAGAGCATTGGCCGTAGTCATGTTTGTTCTTCTCTAATTACAAACCTCTTGCCTCACATTTTATATTATTTACTTTTATTGAATAAATTAATTGTTTTTCTATCTTATTTTAATTATTAAAAAATTACAAAATTCTCCAAATATTTTCGGTTAACAATATTATACTATTATCTAATATTGTTTATTATTTAATATATATTTATTTATCTTTATTTAACTATCGATTTGACTCTGGTTCAACATTTTAACCCTTGATCCTTCCGTTCTTTAGGGTCAATGCCCAGTTCGAATTTTAAAATATTGGTAATTTGTAAGAGCATATCAAATACACTCTTTATTGACTTCATATTCTCTATTTAGAGAGAAAAACTTCTTATGGGACGTTCAATACATTTTTTTCTTTAATAATTAAAATAAGAATAATGTTATTTATCACCACTTGTGTTAGCACCCGTTTAGGTGCCCACACTTTATTTGTTCAATTAAATGAGTCATTTTACTTTTTATTTCAATAAATATATCATTTAGTGACATGTAATTACCACGTAAACTGACACTTGATACTAGAAATGATGAATAGCAAATATAGAGATAATATGACTCTCCAAATGTGTAGAGAGTCAAATCCATCATCTATCTAATGCTTCATTTATTAGGCTCGGCCCTAGGCAATGGCCTAGTCAAAGCATGTATAACGAGTGAATTTAACTCTCCAAATGTGTGTAGAGTCAAATCAATCATCCATCAGATGCTTAATTTATTAGGCTCGACCCTGGCAACGTCCTAGTTATAGCATGTATAACGAGTGGATTTAACTCTCCAAATGTGTAAAGTGTCAAATCAATTATCTATCCAAAGCTTCATTTATTAGGCCCTGGCCTAAGGCAAGATATGCCATTGCCTAAGGCCTCAAGATATAAAGTGCCTCGAAGAAATTTAAATCCCAAGAGCCTAACAAAAATTTTCCTTCACCATTTTTGAGTTGGACCCCTCTAGTCCTTTAAAAAGCAACGGCGAAACAACAAAAAGGGATTAAATAAGAGGCCAAAAATATGTGGATTCTTAAACTTACATTTTTGGTTTAAGGAATAAAGTCCATGTTCGTGTTCCATTTTTGTAAAAACATATATTTCTTTTTCGTATTTTCAATTACACATTCTCTAATAAAATAATATTACACGTAAATATAAAACTTTTTTTAGCCTTTATCTAGTGGCCATTTTTTTGGAAAAATGGTATTTTGAATAGTGAATTTTTGAAGAATGTATGGTTAAATGTAGGAACAAGTTTTGAATTTACGTACAGAATATTCTATCGTGTGAATGTGATTGAAAATTAATATGTAGAATTTTTTTTTTTGGAAAGAATGGGAGAACATGGGCTTACTTTTAAATTATGCATTCTCCAAAAAGTCAATATTCTAAAATACATTTTTCTCATAAAATTAAATTTTAATGGAGTCTAAAAGAGGGAAAATGGATCTACAATTAAACTGTTACCTAGCGCCGTATCTTGTATTTTTTTCCCTATCTACCAAAGGTAAAAAATCAATGCATATATGTGTGTGTACCAAAGCTTATAAAGTTTCTTTAAAATTTATAAATTAATTTTTATGAAAGTTAAAAAGAGAAACTGAAGTTTTCCCGGGAGCGAGCTTCAAAGAGAAATGAACTTGAAGAAATATTTGTGGAAATGGAGAAACAAGCCTCAAATTTATAAAACTGTTCATTAAATTTTCATTCTTATTACGATGAATTAGATCCATCAAAGTGAAGAATAAGGTTCCATGACTACGAGGTATTATTTGTTACAAGTAAAATGTTGGTTTATTGACAACTCTCATGAATCCTTCAGTCTGCTAATTTGTGACAAACTCAACAAAGAGAGAAAATAATTTTGTCACGAAAAACTCGACTTTTGGTAATCTATCAGATTTTTAAGTAGATATATGAATTAGCTTATCGACTATCTGAACAATACTACTTATGACTTACAAAGCCAAATTAACAAATATCGTGTAAAAATTAATCAAAGCAGCAGATTATACCTACAGCTCTTCTATGTGCATGCACTCAAGATGATCCGAGGACTAGTAGTTAATTACTATCAAAATTACTGTGAGAAAACTCGTTAACAGCTATGGATTATTATCAACAATTTTTTTTTTAGCAATATTATTCAATTTGAGTGTCCTCTTCACACGATTTCTTGATATTTAATGAGCAAAAACTCTTGATTCATGCTCAAGAGATTTTTACACAAAAGTGAAAATAGCATGGTGTATGAACAACTTACCGGAGAAATTTGGTTCCCCGGTGGAGTATCATTAGATGAAGAAGGTGTATTATTTCCTTGCATGGCTCCATGAGACGGAGGAGATTGGTTTTCTTTCGTAGGATTCGTAGGCGAGAATGATGGATCATAAGATCTTTGATAAAATGGAGAAGGATAGGTATATTGGTAAAGAACTAAGCCGGAAACACCAATCATCACGAAAAATATTAGAGTAATTTGAAGAATTTCTCTAGAGGAGTAGTAGTGGTGGCGGCTGCTGCTGCTGCTCGTATTGTGGTGGTTGTCACCACTCTCGAGCACAATTTCATTGCCTTTGCAATTGGTGCCTCCATTAACCAAATCCATTTTTCCATCCAACGGACTCACATTTTGAACCGTGTGAGTCCATACACCATATATTAAGATCAAAGTCAACTCAATTAATTCTTTTGAGTACACATGCCTAACTTCGTGTAATGTATTCTTCCACTTGTTCAACAATTTATTGCCTATATAGCTATTTGGATAGCACAATCAAGACTGCTAAGTATGGACGAGAGAAAAATATATCTGACCCTTTTTTTTCCTTTTGTCAAAAATACCCTTAATTTTAAAAAAATAAAAATAAAATTCGAAAGAATTTTCTGCATGTTTAAGAATTATATTAAAAGTTGTTATTCCTTGGAAGGAAGTGTTTTAAGTAAAATTGCTAATAATTTTATATTTTCCTTTTTAACATAACTCAACGTTAAATACTAGATACGGTTAGTTATTGAGGATATGTGTTAGCTTTGTGATGATCAATATCCAAAGTGTGTTTGGTAGAGATTAAAATCGGATTAAAATTGAAAAACTAGCCGTTATTGTTGACTTTTATTAGACGGGTGAGACCCAATAACGGCTATATTTTCAATTTTAATTGGATTTTTAGTGTTACCAAACAAGCCCCAAATCACAAAGTTGATCATGAACATGTATAGATTGAACTTCAACATTATAATCTTAAAATATATCGTAGTTACATATATAATAATTCAAGCGTGTTTAACAAAAAATAAAAAAATCACATAATCAATAATTCAAGTGTGTTTAATGGTACCTAACTCTCATTAAGTCATCTCTTCAATTCCGATCGTACTATAATTCCACTCTCATTTATTTGAGTTGGGGGTCGAAAGAGGAGAATTGACAAAGATTTTCTTTAATATCAAGGCGAAAATAAAACTTCTATTCCAGTACCAAAATTTGCATAGCACGTGAATACTAGCAATTTGTTATTGCCCTCGTTTACGACTGGGTTATATAAAACTCGATAAACATGTTTGACTATAAGGAAATTTTATTTGATTAAAATTAAAAATATATAAGTTATTTATTTCGAAAAATCTAAAACTTTGTTTTTTGTTATATATGCCTTCAATCTAAGATTTCATTGATAAGTGTTGTCTTTTAAAATAAATTGATTTACTTTCAAAATAAATAATTATATCTTTTTAGACAGAATAAATAAATATTTATACTTCCAAGTAAAAAATACGTACTCTAAGAAATAAAACCATAGCCTAATAGGTGAAATAAATACTGAGGAAATTACATCCACACAAGTATTTAAAATTTTCAATTCAAAAATCAAGTTTGGAGTTTATTTATACACAAATCAGGTTATAATTCCATATTTTAATATTAACAATATAAATCAATTTATATACTTACACCTACCCTATTCACCTCATTCAACCATTCAAACCCTAGGAAGAAAATTGCTGCCCCCCGTTCCCTCATCTTCCTCTCGCTTTGACCCATCTCTCTCTAATCACTCTTCACTATCTTCTCTTTAGCCCTAATTCAACACCGGTTGTTTCTGGCACTTGTTCCCGGAAAACCGCGCTACCACTCTGCACCGACAACACCAGCGAGCACCATTGGCACTCGTGTGTAGGAGCGTTGCAAGGAACGACGGTGCTATTGAACAATCGCGAGGAGCAGTGCTGCCGCGTGAGGCCGATGCGGTGTGTAGTTGCCATGGTACTGAATGGCGTCTCCATAGTGTTTTACTGGCTGCAGTGATAGATTTGTGAGATTGTTGACTGGTTGGGGCCATGGGATTGTTGATGAGGACGAAGGAGGACAGATGTGTGAAGGAATTGCTGTCGACGAGACAAAGAATATTGGCGATGGTGGTGTTGTAGCGGGATGGACGACGGTGGTGGTTGTTTTTTTGGTGTGGTGCAGGCGATTGGTGTGGTTGTTTTTTGTTGTTATTGTGGCGGTGGTTGTGGTGGTATTTTGACGTGGCGACGGTGGTGGTTTGGTTGGTGTTGTGGTGGATTGTGGTGGTATTGTGACGGGGGCGATGGTGGTGGTGTTGTGGCGAGGGTGGGGTAGTACTTTGACCAATTATTTGGTTGATTTATGAACAAATATTGGTAGAGGATCGGGACAGGGTGGGGTGTTTGGTGTATGTGACCGACATTTTGGTTCATTGTGAATAATCCATTACCTTAAATTTCGATAATTTGTAACTAAGAAATTTGAAAATATGTGACATATCGATAATATGTGATTTATAATTTTTTGATCCGTGACCAATGAATTAAATTGTGACGTATAAAATTTTTAATTTGTGACTTCGAAAGAATTTGTGATCAATTAATTTGACGTTTTGTGACCGTAAAATAAGTTGTGTGACTTATAAATTTTGTGATTTGTGACTGATGAACAAATTGTGACTTATAAAATTTTTGAATTGTGAACGTAAAATAATTTGTGACATTAAATTTTTTATTTGTGACCGAAATATAATATGTAACTAATTAAATTGTTATTTTGTGACCAAATTATATAAATTTGTGACCTTAATATATTTAATTAATTAAATCATAAACAAATTTTAATTAGTATCTGATTTTTGAAATATGAAACATTTGTTCTTACTTAACCTCTCATTTATGAATTTTTCCATATTATTTTATTGAAAAATGTGTGATTGAAATATTGTTAAAATACTATT